CTTTTTAGCAAATGTTTAAGTTTATCTCAAAATCTTGTGCCTATTTGACAATTCTGATTTCGAATTTGAATTAAGCGGGAAAAAATACGCGAGAATACAGTTGTGTAGTATCATAGAAAAAAAAATTTCTTTTTTTGATTTTAAGTCAGTTTTTGAGTATAACTCGAAAAAAGAACCAATCTGACTATTCTGTCTTCCGATTCGAAGCGCCTGTGTTAATTGCAGGAAGCTGACTGCAATGTTTCTGTAAGCTTGCCGCAAGATTACATTCTATCAGGATAGTATAGTATTATTTAGGAACAATTAACGTAATATTAAAGTAGTTTTAATAATATTGCTGTGATGTTACAGTAATTATATTAAAATTACTTGCAAGATTAATATTACTGTGACATTATTTATAAGTAATAATATAATAATAAGTAATATTTTTTAAAATTATTATTAATAGGTACATATAATATTGCCTGTAATTTATCTTTAAGAAGGGTGGAGGTATTTTAATTTGAGTGTTATAATTAATGTTTAAATAAAATTAAAGTAGATAATATTGACGTAGTAATGAAGTAATACTGCAGTAGTATTCCTGTAATATTATCATTATTACACTGCAATATTAAAGTTTTATTGAGGCAATATTACATAGTAAACTAAGATGCTTTTTGTGTTTTAAAAAAATTTTTTTTGAGGCATTTTTTTCAAAGTTTCTTATTTTACTTGTAAAAAAAATTTTCTCAGTTCAAGAAGTGTAACATTACCTTAATATTAAAATAATATTACATATTATTTGTATGTGCTACTTGGAATATTTTCTTCTTGACGATGGTAAAAAATCAAAGACCTTGGCCATCAATTTCGAATGCCCTTCCTGGATTCACAGAAAAGAAACCCAAAAAAAAAACCAAAAAATTAGGGTCACTTCGAAACACTTTTACGATCGTATGATGTGCATTATATCCTTTTGCGAAATCCTTTTAAAATTACTTTAACCTACTTTTCCCAGGATATTGACTTTCATGCAAGATTTCAAGGACTGAAAACCGGAATTGTTTCGGTTTCGGTTTCTATATTTAAATATAGTTGCGAAATTAAAATTGTAATTTTATTATTATTATTATTAGAAATTAAAGTGACTTTTTTAATTCACTTGAATTATTTCACTTACTTGTGTTATTTAACTTTCTGAGAATATATTCTTTTTTTCCATTCTTGAAAAACAAACCTGTTTTTGCTCTAAATTCTCAAAATTATTTCTATAAAAGATGTCGATGGAAACAAAACGATTGGCGCTGCGTTAAATTGAACAAAATTTTGAAAAGTTCAAAATTTATACCAAGCCTACTAGGGATTTAAAAATGGGAACAATAGCAGACCAAGAATACTAAAACAAGAGAAATCGATTTTTCACCGAGAATAAGGAAAATATTTTTATTTTCTTTTTTTTTATGTTGTAAAATCATTATTATTTAGTATTTACATTTGAAAACAAATATTTACATCAGAGTGTAATTATACAAAGTAAAAATAAATATTTGAAACTAAAAATAATCACTTACAATAAAAAATAAAATATTAAAATATATTAAAAATAAATAATTATTTACACTGACAATAATTTAGGAACACAATTTGAAATAACTGAATTAATTGAGAAAATTATTTGAAAAAAATAAACGAAAATAATTTACACTGCAAAATAATTATTTCCACTGAAAAATAATTATTTACAGTACAAAATAATTACCTACACTGTATAATAATTATTTATACTTAAGAAAATTGAATTACCCTAATAAATAATAATTAGTAACTCACTGCATTTGTGAGCAAAAAGTTTACTCGACATCTGTTGGCAATTACATAAATAAATTGTCACGAAATTCAAATTAAATTTTTTTTCTCTTTTTAATACCTCACTTTTCTTTGCTTCGAATCATTTGAATTTTGCTCCAACAGAGGGCAAGTAAACACTCTGCTCACTTATGAAATAAAGTTGTGGGGTCATAAAAAAAGTCTCGTCGAGATTTTATAGACCGATTTCCAATCTCTGAAAATTTTTTTCTATTACTTCAAAAGTATTTCGTAATTTGTTGTAGCAAGAATTTATTTATTTATGTATTTAATTTTTTTATTTCAATTATATTTTGTTTACAGTGTAAATATTTATTTACAGTTTATTATACTTACAATAATTGTTTAAAACATTAAAACAATTATTTAACAATATAAATAATGTATAATTAATACGATTCATAATATTTTCCAATACAATTTTTTTTTAATTTTTTAAATTGAATTTTTTATACAGTTGATAATAATTACAAATCATTGTAGTTGATACAGTAACTGAAGTAATGAACTATCAAAATTTCAAGTGTGAAATTGAAAACACGCTTTAAATGTGTGTCACAAATCCGGTTGACTGATCGTAAGGAGAAGAAGAGTTCACCTGCCAGTTAAATTCATGTTGACCTCACACAAACAAACGTGAATTCCGCGTCCACCACAAGAATGCAAGATATTTTATTTTCCATCGTTTAACCTAACTAGGCACGTCATAATCCAATATAACAAGAGACAATTTAAAATAATCTAACTTCACTGCCGACATAATTCCATTATTTACATTTCAATCGCATTATTTTTTTCATCTTTTTATAAGAAAAAAATTGAAAAACAAATTTTTAATTACGTGAGACAAATTTTGGAAAATTTGAACTTTTATCGTAATTCAAACGGATTAATTGTAATTAGTTTTTTTTCAACTGAAAAATAATAGAATAATAAATAAAAAATAATTTTACCATAAATTTAAGAAAAATTTTTATTTTATAAATTAAATAAATAAAAATAACTAGAAATTTTTTCTTTTCTTCTTCTTTACTTACATTTATTTTAACAAATAACAAAAAAAATTGTTTATTCATATTTTTGGTAAAAAATTTACTACAAATTTTTTATATGATAAAAATTTGAAATCTCGAATGTAACGATTTTTTTTAATTTCGATACGTAATCTTTGATTCATTGTCAATTTTTTATTCAGTTCATTGTCGCATATAATTATAATAAAATTAGAATTCAACAATATCGATAAATTAATGTAATTTCTTTAGATATAATTTATTGTTAACTAGATTCCGTTAGTTAGTTAATTAAAGTTGAGTTGAAATTCACTAAACTGTAAAAATATGACAATGGAGATTATATCCGGAAGTGACATTGTCGTTAATAAGAATTCAAAATTACAGGTGTGTCTGGTATTCTTCATGCCGTTAGATATTCAGGTCTAATTAATTCAGATTTTAAAACTTTCTTCTTCTCGTGAACATTTTACATTGGTAAACGAACTATTCTTCTCTATCGACTGTTATTTCATTGCCGACATTGTAAAAATTTCTCCTTATCACAAATGGTAAAATTTTTATTCAATTTTTTCAACTACCGATATTATTATATACCTACATAATATTAATTTCAATATCAAATTAAAATATTATTGATTTTTATAAAAAAGTAATATTTTATTGAAATATAAGTAATTTTTATTAAAAAGTAATATAAATAAATAAAAGTAAAATAATATAAATAATAATTAATACCAAAATAATATAAAAAACATTAGTTTTATTACTATTTTCAAATTTTGTTTAATTATTTCTCTCAAATACAATTATCGAACTTCATAAACAAAAACAATAGATTTGGTAAATTAATTATATATAGGTAATTATTGTCATTCAATTGTAAACGAAATTATTTCTTTTCGTCAAATAAATTAAAACTAAAAAAATTTTTATAAATAAATTATAGAGAACATACAATTTTTCTTCAAGGCATATTTTTGAGTAAATTTTATAACATCTATTATTCATTCAAGAACGAAAAATTTCGCTTTCTAAAATCGGCCAAATTAAACAATTTTTATAATAAATTCATAATTGTTTATCAATTGTAAAATTACAAGTGTCTATCATTAACATAAATTATATCTTCCATACCAGAATCGTCGATACATTTGGCAATATTTTTTTTTCTTTGTTTGTTTTTGAATCAACAAGGAACGCTTTTTCACACACTATTCATCTAATTATTTATAAATAACTAGAAATGGTATTTTGGTGTCAAATATTTGTTCAATAATGGTAAAATGATATTCTATCTTTTAGTCTTATAGGTTAATTAACATAAATTATTAATATTGGAATATAAAATTAGAAATTAGCAGTAATTAATAATTTTTTTCAGTATAAAAGTTAAATTCTGCATTAAACACTTTTACATTATGCAAAATATTTCTTGTTCATGTATTTAATGCTTTTTTAAATTTATATCTCTCCTAAGTAAATAAATATTATTTTTATATCATTCTTCAATTAATGCAATAATTGCAAATAATTTGTCGTATATTTCTTGAAAATATAATTTCGTTTTACTATACATAATATAATAAATAAATACTACAAATATACATTAATATCTATCCTAACAAATTTCTTGACGAGCATAATGAATATAATGAAATAAATAAGCATGCGATTTTAAATGACTTAAAATTAAATTAGAATTTTTTCTATTTTAACAAATATCTTGTCGAGTATGAATGAAAATAAATAAATAAGGATGATTCTTTTAATGACTTGAAATAAAATTAGAAAAATTAAATAATTATAATTTTAAATTATCAGAGGTAATAAAATTACCATCATTTGTAACTGAATTGAAACAAACTTTCATGAGAATTTAAACAAAATATTTATTTAGAAAAATTAATAATAATGGAAAATCCGTAAAGTCTTAAGGAAAATTAAAATTAATATTACTATTATAAAATTTACCGAAATTTTGTGCAGTTTTTCATATAATTTTTTAAAAATTCTTCGTAGAAATGAATGAATGAATTAGCAATTATTAATTATAATAATTATAATTAGTTGATTTAATTTTCAAATTTAATTAATAATTAAATTCATATCCTATTAAATACTTAATAGAATTAAGTAATTAATTAAATTAATCATGCTTTATAAAGAAATAAAATAATCACTCAAATATACATTTTATTATAATTAATCACCGACGTTGTCTATATCCTTGATAATATCCTGAATAAGGATTGGAGTATCCAGCATGGTATCCAGAGTAAATATGACTTTGAGCATCGTTTCTGTGAATCCAAGGTGATTCTTCATGGCCATATCCTGCCCAAATTTTTACAAAATTAGAATCAAATTTCGAAATTTAGAACACTATCATTCTTTGACAATTTTTTGTTTGTTAATTGTTAACATTTTTCCTCCTTTTTTTTGCTTTTTATATCAAAAATATCAAAACAAAAACAAGCGCACATTTTTTTTAATGTTCCCCATATTTGTTAATTGTGACAGTTTTCCTGTTGTTTTTTTTGTTATTATTTTTGTTGGTATTGCTATTATTTCTTTTTGTTTTTATTGTTTGGTGCTATTATTATTATTATTTTTGTCGTTACTATTATTATTTTAGTTGTTATTATTATTATTTCTTTTGTTGTTACTATTATTTTTGTTATTATTATTATTACTTTTGTTATTATTATTGTTTATAATATTTTTATATTGTTTAATGAGTGATTAATTATTATTATTTCAATTGATAATAATTTATTGTTGTTTGATATTATAGTAATAAAAAAAGTTTGTTGTTGTAGTTGTTGTTTTTTTCGATAAGTTATCGTTATCTATTTGAAAGGAAAGTAGAAACCTGTTGGATAATCGACAGGAGCTTCGGCAGCAGTGGCCCAGGCCTGGTGAACAGGATAATGAGGAACTTTACAAATTTTTAGATGAGAAAGTATTGAGGGGAGCAATAATGAGCCGATTACAAGAATCTTCTTGATAAAATGTACCCCCAAAAATATAGGCAATAAAAGTAACTTCAATTTGATGAGATTCAGCAGAATTAATATTGGCAGAATAATGTGTTTCTTCTTCTTGTGAAAAATTCGTTCCTCTCCTAAAAAAGAATTCATCTTTAAAATTTCAGTAAATAACTATAGTAAGTAAATTAACATTCTTTGAAAATATTTTTATTTCATCAATAAAGGGAAATAACCCACACAGCACCGAAGATTTTCTGAAACTCGACAGGACCTCGTTCAGCGAGGTTAGAAACATTATGTCGCGATGTTCATGGGAGATTTTGTGGATGTTCAAATGTCCACATAAACAGAATATTAAATATCAACCATCAGCAAAAATTAAACTCCAAATATTGACTTGCGATGTTCATGTCAATATTCAGACAATATTAGTTTATACGTGTATAATTATCATCAAACGAAATTTTTATAACTATGCGAAAATCTCATTCAATATTGTCTGAATATTGACTGAACATCGCAAGTCAATATTTGAAGTTTAATTTTTGCTGAAGGATGATATTTAATATTCTGTTTATGTGGACATTTGAACATCCACATAATCTCCCATGAACATCGCAACTCAATGTTTCTAACCTTGCTGAACGAGGTCCTGTCGAGTTTCAGGAAATCTTCGGTTCTTTGTGGGAAATATAGTAAGGAATAAATAAATAATCAACTAATTAAGCTATTATATAATTGAAGCGTTGGGTGCAAGAAGGGCGTATCACTAAAAACTTTAAGTTTTTAAACTTTAATAGCTCAAAAACTATACATGCAAATTATATATACTTTTTTTTAATTAATTAGTCCACTATTGAACTATCAAATTCAAGTGTAAAGTTAAGGGAAAATTGCAATTAACTAATAAATAATAATGTTTTTCAAAACCAATTTATTTGCCTAACGCTCTTCTTGCACCCAACCCCTCAATTTAAAAGTTGATTAAATAAAGAGTTAAGTAAGCAATTAACGGATTGATTAATTAAATAAATAATAAATAAATAACGAAATAAATAGTTGTAAAAAAATAACAAAACGATTACATCAGAATACATAAATAGTTCAATAAAAAAATAAGTAATTAATTAATTGAAGAAATAGTTAAATAATAATTGAATAAATAAAAGAAAAACTTATTAATTTATTAATTTGTTTTATTTATTTATTTATTTTTTACAGTTCTTTATTTATTTTATTTCCTTACTTTTTTTCCTTACTTATTAATTAAATAAATAATAAATTAATTTAAAATATTTACTTAAAAAATAAGTGATTAATTCAGAAAATAAGTAATATTTTCTAATAAAAGAAGTACTTAATTACTTAACTTAATAAATTGATTAAATAGTGTAAAGAAGAAAAAATGGAAAATCGAAAAAATTCTTCTTTACCTTTTTTTGAAAGAGTCATTTTCTTGAATTCATCGTCATCGAGAACGATGGGACCGGAAGTGAGGCTTCTTGCACCTGGAGAATACTCAATTGTATACACTAGAGCACGCTTGGTTAACATATCCTCGGCGGCATCTCGAACGAAACTTAAGGTATCAATTAAACCACTTCGAGTGTCATTAATTCGTGGTAATCGGGGAAAAATTGTTTCCCCATTTAACGATGGTACCTTAATAACACTAAAGGGTCCATAATTAAATTCCTGAAAAATATTAGTTTTATAATTTATTTATTAATTGTAAATTTTTCTTTACATTTTTTTCTTATTAATTTTTCATTAATTTAATAAAATTTATCTAAATCGATAAATAAATAATAAACAAATATGATAAATGAACAAATAAATAATAAGAAATTAATTAAATAAATAATAAATAAACATATGAATAGAAATAAAAAATAGTAAATAAACAAGAATTAATTATCAAGTGAATGGTAAATAATTTGATTATTTAAATTAAATGACACTTTTTTCAATGTCCTTAAAATTTTGAAGAAGAATTAAATCATTATAAATAAATGAATAATTTAGTAATTAAATAATTTAATTAACAGTATATAAATTTAAATTTGTAACAAATTCAAAAGCAAATAAATTAATAAACAACAAAATTTGAATTCGCAAGAAGTTTGAATTGAGAAAGAATTTTTTATTTAAAAATGATTTCAATAAAAATATTTGACTAAAAAAACTTTAATATGAAAATCTTGAATAATAAGGCTTGGATAAAAAGAGTTTCAATTAGAAAGATTTGAATAACAAAAATTTAAGTGAAAAAATTTGAATAAAAAAACTTTAATAACATGAACTGAAACAAATGAAGAGAAAATAAAATTTGCGTCAAGCAAAATTTGAGTAAAAAGCTTGAATAAAAAAGGAATAAAAAAACAAAATTTAAGTCAATAAAAAGTTGAGTGAATAAACTTTGATAAAAAAATCAAATAAAAAACTTAAATAAAACACGTTGGTGAAGTTTACAACGTTTATAATCAACGATTTAGAAGAAAAAGTATTTTTCTACTTATATTTTTATATAAAAAATGATTTGCATAATTATTTGTTTATTAATTTGAAAAAGAAAAATTTGTAAGTAAAACATTTTGTTATTTTTGTTAGAAAAAATTTGTTTTTTCGTTCAATTGTTGATCATAAACGTTGTGAACTTCACCGAAGTAAAACAAACTGAAATAAATTAATAAAAAATCAAATTTGTGTAAAAAGATTAAATAAAAAAAGGAATAAAAAACAAAATTCAAGTCAAAAATAATATATGAGTAAAAAAACTTGAATAAAAAAATCGAATAAAAAACTGAAAAAAACTTGAATAAAACAGAACAAATTAGACATAAAAAATGAAATCAAACTTCTGAATTTATTTTTGCAATAAAATGTTCTTTTTGTTGTTGTTTGAAATAGCATTTGATAAGTAAACTTCAGTGAAAAAATGTATAAAACTGGTAGTAGCTCAGTAGGTAACTTATTTACAATCTTCTTCTTTTTGTTTTTATTTTTTCTTTGAATTAAAACAAAAACAGAAAAACGAAACGCACCTTCTCTTTCACATCCTGTAACCACCTGACAACTCGATAACGACCGCACACAACCGCGTCTTTTTGAATTGCACAATCTCTTCGGCACTTTTCCACAAAAACATTCGACAAATTACCCGTGAAGGTCAAACAATAATTTCCCCTAAAAAGTAATAAAACAATTGTACACTTCAATAATCGTGAAATCCAAATTGAATTTGACTTCATGTTTCCTCGGGAAAAATTCATTTCAAAATCTTTCAGCACTCGTATTTCTCCCCAAAAATATTTTCTTCAGTCAATAAATTTCACACTTATTTTTTTTTCAAATTACATTTTTCTGAAAAAATGTCTCACAATGTTTTTTATTTTTCATCACTTCCAAAACTGATTTTGCTGTTTCTTTTTTAATTTCTTTTTAACACTTAAATATTTTTAAAATTCAACATTTTTTTAGTTTTGAACTTTAAAGTTTTAACTGCAAATTTTTAGTTTCGATTCGAATTGAATAATATTAAATTTAATTTAAATATTTTCTTCTCATAGAAGTATTGTTTTTTTTTTATTTAACTTGATTTTGATTTGGTTAACTTTTTTTCCGAAAAGAAAAAAAGGAAAAAAAAATTGAAAAACGTAATTTTCTCGAGGTGTATTAAATATACGACACGTGAATACGCTCGTGGTTACTGACGTTGGGTTAGGAGGTGTCTAGGCCATTTATACGAGAAGCATATAGGTCGGTGGGGGTAACGGTGTTCATAGATTCATCTTCTATCCACACACTGGATAAAGTAATGCAACAGCTTCAAAGAGTCAATTGCAAAACTATCTCGCGCGCAAAATGCGACCACTCTGCGAGCAGGAATGCAATTTATTGGGTTATCATTATGCAAGTTCATATATTCAATTTTAGAAATCAAATTTATCGTGAGTTTAAATCTTGTATGAGATTTGTTTGCATAGAAAAAAAAATTAGTCTTGATAAGAAGAGTCATCTCTCCTTATCAAGACTAATTTTTTTATCAAAGATTTCAAATTATTTTTTTCTTACTCTTCTTGGTTTTTCTTTATTTTTTTAAAATATAAATCACGTTCAACGAGAAATTAAAGTACTTTTTAAATTCTATTTAAGTATTAAAAAAAAAGAATGAACAAATAATTTTTTGATTCGTTTAAAAGAAAAGTTTCTTTAAATTTTTAAAGAAACGAAGAAATTTTTTTTAAATACCTTATAGAAAACGAAAAATTTATCTCTCTCTGAATGTTTTATGACTTATTATTTTCCTGAAGTGAATTAGACTTCTAATTAGTGTTTAATGCACATGGAAAGTAAAAAATGGGAAATTAACAATATTTACTGGCAATAACTTTAGATATACGAAAGTTAAGAAAAGTCCCTATGAATCAAATAAAGAAAAGTTTCAATAAAAGGTCAAAGACAACGTCTGTAAATCTTGCAATCGACTCACAGGGAACAAAGTCGTAACACTAACCCAAAAAGGGGTTTTTTTTTGTCGTCATCATACTTAAAAAGGGGAATATTTTAATAAACGTGTTTTAATATTTAGTCCTAATATTTTCAATTCTTCCTCTTGAGACGCTCGATGATTGAAAAATTTATAATAGAGAAAAGAAGAGGTATCGTTAAATTCTACACGAGAGTCCTTTTAATGCGGAAGTCCTTCACTTTGTAACCCTCACCTTTGGCACAATCGCGACTTCGTAACACTTGAATTGAGGCTATGAAGGAGTTTACACCGTAAGCCTTAAATATAAGCCTCCGCGAGCATAAACGGATATGCCTCCATGAGGATATACTTGCGTCTGCGCAAAGTGTTTGCCTGCAGCTGTGTTGTGAAAGAGTTTGCCTTGACCACGTGTTCGCGCAGGCGCAAGTATATCCTCATGGAGGTATATCCGTTTATGCGCGCGGAGGCTTATATTTAAGGCTTACGGTGTAAACTCCTTCTATAGTTGCTACCAGTTGAAAAACAGATTCGATCATTAGATTATCTGCTGCACAATTGGCTATATGTGGGCGAAGAAAGCACATACATTCCAACATTCGTTTACCTGAGATACAGAATATTTATGCGTCGCTAAATGAAAACTGCTTTCGACATTATTTCGCTTTTATAGACAATTAAACTGTGTGTTTTCAACTCGACGACTCTTGACTCGCGGAAAAAAGTTTAATGAAATAAATAGTAATTATAAATATTTAAATAATTAATAGTAACAATAAATAACAATAAGATAATTTATAAATAACACAGAGAAATGAAAATAAACAATAACAAATAACAATATCCAAATACACTGTAAAAAATTTAGGGAGTTAACGGACTCGGGAGTTGGGAGTTAAATTTTTCGAGTTAAAAATCAACTCCAAAAGAGAGTTAATTTCTAACTCCCTTCATTCAACACCCGCGCGAGTTATTTTTTCCATGGGGAGTTAGCATTTGGGTGTTAAATTTTAACTCTCTTTATTTAACTCCCCTGGCATTATAACTCTCCAATGGGTGCGACTTTTATAGAATCCCCTGGGGAGTTAAAATTTAACTCCCTTTTTTTACAGTGTAGCATAACATTCAAGCTCAATATTATAAGGCAACATTGCCGGGTTCAGTCGCCCAAAATTCTAAAATTACGTCAAAATTTAAGTCAAATTAAAATCAATTATATTTAATCAATTGTTAAATTCATAGAACTAATAATGTAATTATAATAATTGTTATATTCTAACATTTAAAAAAATTTATAGTCAATATTGCCTTAATATTGCTGGGGAATATTGACGTAATATTGTAGTAAAATATTTTATTATTTGAGTGAAAGAATGTAATAATTCATTTAACTTTTAATTAAAATTTACAATGTTGTGTAAGACCGTTTATCTTGAAAATAAATAATACATACCTGTAACTAAAAATAAGTAGCAAATAGCAAAATGAAAATAAATAACAAAAGTAATACTAACAAATAATAATAAAAATAAATGTGATTAATAATTATCAATCAATCTAAGTCAAGAAAAAAAAATAAAATAAAAATTCCGTTTATTGGATTGATTGATAATTATTAATCACATATATTAAATAGTGCCCAAGTGATAACTTCGAAAAATAATAATAATAAAAATAGGGTAAACCAGACAGTAGTCGGCCACCGGCTCAGAAACGTTTAAAAACAATATTTTTTTCGATTACAAATGTATAGGGTCATTAACAATAATACTACCAACGTTTAACAAAAAAAAAATTTTTATCTCATATGGATTTGTAGTTATTCAAAATTTAGAGGTGGCTGACTACTTACTGTATACAGAGGGTGGCCGACTACTGTACATTGCATAGAATTCAAAATTTTTAACATATTTTTTCTTCTTATACACTAAGAAATCCAAAAGTGACAAAAATAAAAAAATGTCTGTATGTACAATGTGTGTATGTATGTATGTCTAAATCTGAATTATTTATTTATTTATTCAAAAAATCGTTGTTCGATGATTATATTATAGTGCGGATTCGTTTACCAATTTGAATTAGTAACATTTTTTACTAATTTTTAGTAGTTTTTTACTAATTGCTAGTAGAAAATTACTAATTCAATTAGTAGACCGTATTTTTTACTATTTCAATTTAGTAAATTTTCTACTAATAATTAGTAAAAAACTACTAAAAATTAGTAAAAACAGTTACTAATTCAATTGGTAAACGAATCCGCACTATTTCATTAGTAGAAAACTATTATTTTAACATTTCTATTATTATTAGACTCTAATCATAATAAAAATGTTAAAATATTATGAAAATAAAAAACTACTAGAATTTCCATGGAATCTCGACGGAAATTTTCGACGTAAGGACAAGCGTGATTTTTCAAGGCACACATTTTTTCTGAATCTGAAGTAAATTCTAAAAAGTTCTGAGTACCTCCGTGTATCGGAAAAAGCTCTTATTTAATAAAAAAGATCCAATTTAATAAAAAGAAGACCAAATTTGATATTCGACTCCAAAAATTGTTTTAAAAAATTGTCAAAAGAAAATTAAATTTTGAATTAAGAAAAAATTTTCATTTAAAAAATATTTATTTTCTATTAGGTATAAAAGAAATTAAATTTTATAATAAATAAGATATATTTTTTAATTTTACATAATTTTTCATTTTCAAACATGACACTTTAGGATCATTAATTTAACCAAGGAATTTGCAACATTGTAAGGTGAATAAAAAATAAATGCTCCGGAGAGTATATCGAATCAATATTGATGGTAGTTCCTGTTTGACAAGCATCTATTAAATAATCAATGAGAAAGTTGAGAATTCTCTTTTAATTTCATACATACAAATAATTTTAACAAATGATTAATAATAATTAATGTTCGACTATTTCTTTTTTATTTTTTGTAAGGAAAACAATTAAAATTCTATACGTCTTTGTATATTTCACAGAAAAAAGTGAGTGTTATTTTAACACTGAATTCGGTGTTAAAAGTGTCTGCATCAAACTTTAGCTCGGAAGTGTTATTTTAACACTGAAAATAAGGTAAATTTTCTATTATAGAAAATTTATCCTCACTAAAATTACCCTACCAAAATTTACCCGCATCAAAAACAACACTCGCTTTTCTCTGTGTTTATTTTTTGCAGTGAGAAAATGCAATCAAGTGTAGGTATAGATTGTGATTAAATTGAAAATTCACATAGTTGTGTTAAATTAAATGAAAATTAGAGAAAAAGCTATGTACCGAATGTATACTCGTTTAGTAATAATTAATTAGTTGGGATTTCAAATTGGAATAACATCAATTAAATGAGAGTAATCGAGTTTCTAATATCACTATATCTACATATAGAGGAGTGAAATATTTAAGTGAGGATGGGATTCATTCGTTTACAGTCGTGGGCAAAAGTTAGTGTTTGTAGTGGAGGAAAGGGGAGAAAAAAGGGTTTTTAACCCCTTTGTGGCCTTCATTTTTTATTTTTTCTCCTTTTTCAATTAGACAATTCTGTTTCTCTTTTTCTTTCTTTTTCTCCTCCCTTTCTTTTCTTCTTAATTTCTTCTTAATTTCTCGTTTTTTCTTCTATTTATTTTTTTCCCTACACCTCTTCTTACCATCCTGCAATTCTCTTTTCTTCTTTTTCTTCTTTCTACCATTTATCCTTCTTTCCTTCTACCTGTTATTATCCTAACATTCTTATAAACTAGAATCTTCTTTTTCTTCCGCTCCATCTTCTTTCTACATTTTACTCATTGTCCCTTTCCATTTTTCTCCTTTTTTTCTTACAGTTTTCTTGCCGAATGCCTTTTTCTTGTTTTTCTTCTTTTCCCAATTTTTTTCTAATTCTTCTCCTTCTATTTAATAATATTTCTGCTTATTTTCCTATTTATTCTTTTCTCAT